AGGTGTTGCGGTCCCCCTTGTTCTTCCTTATAAATAGGCGGGTTCAAAATTCAAAATTTTTATTAATCTCCTAACCGTCTACTGGTAAAGACGTCGCAGTGTATCGTATCGCTTTGTCGTTTATTTAATTAGTGTTCAATAATGGCGCGTACTAAGCAAACGGCTCGCAAATCCACCGGTGGCAAGGCGCCTCGTAAACAACTTGCTACTAAAGCTGCGCGTAAGAGCGCTCCTGCAACCGGTGGAGTGAAGAAACCCCATCGCTACAGGCCCGGAACTGTCGCTCTCCGTGAGATCCGTCGTTACCAAAAGAGCACGGAGCTTCTTATTCGCAAGTTACCATTCCAACGTCTGGTTCGTGAGATCGCTCAAGATTTCAAGACTGATCTACGTTTCCAGAGCTCGGCGGTGATGGCCCTTCAGGAGGCGAGCGAGGCCTACCTAGTCGGTCTTTTCGAGGACACCAACTTGTGCGCTATTCACGCAAAGCGCGTCACCATTATGCCTAAGGACATACAGTTGGCGCGTAGAATTCGCGGCGAGCGTGCCTAAGAAGGCCAGTTTGTCGAGATGCTGACATTAATTTAAATGTCGTCTCCGTTTTCTAATTGAAACAACAACAATTAAAAAAGGCCCTTTTCAGGGCCGCATATATGTCTAGAAAAGTTTATGTTTCTTTGGTATGACTGACGAACGAACGTCTTAACAAATAACATACAATAAATACAACTCAATTCTATACAATACAATACAATACAATGAAACTACAAGGTATCAATACATTTTTACTTACTGTTACGTATGTATTTCTTTTGCATACAATAAATAAATAAATAAATAAATACAATATATGACTGACTACATTTATCTGTTAAAATATATATACATAATGGTAATGGCTATTACGAACGATTTTAATAAGAACATGAAATTAGATTACATGTTCCTATTAATTTAATTCAATTCAATTGTAAACGCGCTGAAAGGAAAAAAATACGTAAATATATTTATATAGATACTTAATTTTATATGGGAACATTTTCGAACAAAATAAATTTACCACAATGTACATATTACAATAATATTGATGCGAACATTTTTTTTTGTATGTTATAAAAGTAAATTTTCTGTCTCTTTCTTTTAAAAAGATGGACATATGGTATCCTCGCCCCCCGCAGCCGCTCCCCGTAATTCCGTAAAGAGGCGGAGCGAATGCTTATAAAAGCCACGGGTCGCCGAAAAATTTTATTCGTCTTCAGGACTCGTATCGCAACGTACTGCTAGTGTTGTTCGCTCGCTTTCGAAAACAGTTTAATTTAATCAAGGAAAATGACCGGTCGCGGTAAGGGAGGTAAAGGTTTGGG